CTACCACTACTACTACCACTACTACTACTACTACGACTACTATTACTACTACGACTCTACTACTACTACTACTACTACTACTACTTACTAAACTACTACTTACTACTACTACTACTACTACTACTACTACTACTACTAAAACTACTACTACTACTTACTAACTACTATACTACTACTACTACTACTACTACTACTACTAGACTACTACTTACTACTACTATACTACTACTACTACTACTGTTACTACTACTACTACTACTGCTGCTGCTGCTGCTGCTGCTGCTGCTGCTGCTACCACTACTACTACCACTACTACTACTACTACGACTACTACTATTACTACTACGACTCCGACGACGACTACTACTACTACTACTACTACTACTACTACTACTACTATTATTACTACTACTACTACTACTACTACTACTACTACTGCGGCCTGTGTGAGCATAAGCTCCTACCGCTGCTTCACTACACGGCTCGGCTCAGGAGAACGAATATACACCTCTCGACAACAATGACTATTCAAACCACCTGTAAATTATGTAGATTCAGAGAGATTTCCAATAACGGCGTTCAGCAGCTTGTGCCCCATCATGTGCGCGACCCAGGAGAAACGATGGGCTTGCCAAGCTTCTCGGTCTGATATGTCCCTTTCGACGATCAGTACTCGATCCATGCCCCTGCTGCGGTGCCCTGCTCTGGCCGCCAGGGGTGGGGGCAGGATGCAGTTGCTTCGTGGCGCCCTCCCCCCCCGAGGCAACCCGCGCCCCCCCCCCCTCCCTCGCCAACGTGAAGTCGGGCCTGTCCTTCTACAGTAATGTGCAAAAACGATAGAAAATAGTGTGGGGAAGCTTTTTGGTTTATGTTTGACCATTTGGGAATCTGTGTTTCGTATCTTGTATTTTTCGTCCAAGCTCCGCCTGCAGGGGGACATGCCCGACCTGACGCCAGCGAAGGAAAAGGGCTCCGAGGGGGGCCGGGCCCTGCCGGGCGCTTCGAAGCTGGGGCCCCAAGGGGCGGGGCCCGGAGGGCGAGGGGCCTCACTCAGTGCAGAGGGCGAGGGGCCTCAGACAGTGCAGATTCCACCAGGGCTATGTCGGGCGTGTCCCCCTACAGGGGGATCTTCGACGAAAAATTAAAAATACTCAAACAATACTCCAAAGAGGTAAAAAATACTCAAAAATTAGTCCCCAAACTATTTTTGGACAATGTTTTGATTATTTGAGGGGTATTTTTGATTTTTCGTCCAAAATCCCCCTGTAGGGGAACAGGCCCGAATTAAAACCAGGGCTGAACCTAAACGATGTTCTTCGTTCTCGTTTTGTTTTCGTTCTCCCTCGTTGTGTCCTCAGTCCGCCATGAACGCAAAAAACGGAATCGAAACGAAGACGGCCCGCGAGATCCCCAGAACACCGTGGAGGCCCACCCCTGGATTCGACCTGGGATCCCGTCCTGCTCTCTCCTTCAGGGCCTCGCAAGGCCCCTCCGTCGGGGCCCCGCCTCCGAAGCGCCGCTCCAAGACTCCGGGGCGCTCCCCGGGGCCAGCTCTGCATCCCGAGATACATTGAAGGGGCCGCCGGGCCCTGGGACACACAAAGAAATACACACAAATAGAAGGATTCCCAATGTTTTATCATATGTTCTGGGTTTTCGTCTTCCCCCCCACCCCTCATATTTTCCTATACTTTCCTGGGGATCGACGAATCATTGTGTCTGTGTGTTTTTCTCCTCCTGATATAAGTGCTTGTGGTGGCGGCCGCGGGGACCGTGGAGGGCCCCAGCGGGGCCTCGGCAGTACGAGGGGTGCCTGCAGCCCAAGCGGAGACGAAGCCAGGACCAGTGATGGGCCTGTTTTCCACCACCACCACCACCATAAGTTGGAGGGGAGGAGGAGGAGGAGGAGGAGGAGGAGGAGGAGGAGGAGGAGGAGGAGGAGGAGGAGGAGGAGGAGGGGAGGAGGAGGAGGAGGGGGGAGGAGGAGGAGGAGGAGGAGGAGGAGGAGGAGGAGGAGGGGGAGGAGGAGGAGGAGGAGGAGGGGGAAGAGGATCCCCTCCCCCTCCAACATATAGTGGTGGTGGTGGTGGTGGAAAGCAGGCCCATCAACGAGGACAAACTCGGGTGAGCCTACATCGAGGATCTCGTGGATCCAGTGGATCTGGAGGATGTATCGGGCGCCGCGCCCTTCCATAGGGCGTTCCTGAACGCTCTGAGAGCGTTCCGGGACACTCTGGAACGGAGATATCCTTAGGTCTGGCATGTCCTCCTACAAGCGGGTTTGGATGGAAATATAAAATTACCCCAGTGCGACCCTACCTAGGAGTTGGAGCCCCTAAGAAAGCAGCATTAGTAGTAACGGTAAACGCCGTCCTCCTCCTTCTCCTCATCGTCGTAGTTGCCTTTGCGTTTGCTTGTTTTTGTTTTTGCGTGGTGTTGCTTTTGCTTTGCCTTCGCACACACACACGCATGTTGCTGCATTCGCTCACCGGGTGGGCTCTCTGATCGTACTGTTGCACACTGCGTTTGCGTTGCCTTTCCTTTGCTTTGCTCTTGCTTTTGCGTTGCTTTGCTTTGCGTGGCTTTGCCTTTGAGTTGCTTTGCTGCTATGCTATGCTATGCTATGTTATGCTATACTATGATGCACTATGATATGCTATGATATGCTATGATATGCTATGCTATGCTATGATATGCTATGTTGCGCTATGCTGCGCTATGGTATGATACGCTAGGCTGCGCTGTGTTATGCTAGGCTATGTTATGCTATGATATGGTATGCTATGCTATGCCATGCTATGCTGCGCTGTGCTATGCTGTGCTGTGCTGTGCTGCACCATGCTATGCTATGCTATGCTATGCTGCGCTATGCTATGCTATGCTGGGCTGTGCTATGATATGCTATGCTGCGCTATGCTGTGCTACGCTATGCTATGCTGTGCTCTGCTATGCTAAAGTTCTGCGAAGCTAAGATGAAGGTAAGCTAAGCTAAGATAAACCTGAGCTAAGATGAAGCTAAGCTCAGCTAAGATGACATAAGCTAAGATAAGATGATATAAGCAACGCTAAGCTAAGGGGGCGTAACTGGGGGTACCGCGGGGCGGATGCTGGGGGAACCGCCCGGGGCGCTTTCCACTGCCCGGCCCCTTTAAGCCCAGAGAGTAAGAACCCTTCTAGGCAGAGCCTAGGTAGGGAAATCGCCCCATAAACATACTCAAAACTAGTAAAAACACAACCGAAGAATCGTCCTGTATCTCCTGACTAGTTTTGAAGATTCCTCCTGCAGAGGCCCAGGCCCGACCCGAATCTATCCTCGTCCCAGCCCCATCCGACAGGCACCCCCCCGCGGGGGTGCCCGATCCGAGGCCCGAGCACGGCGGCAAAAAGGTTCCGAGGCCCCCCGCCTCCGGGACCCGCTTCTGAGGGGCAGCGACAGCGGGGGGATGGGCACACAGTGAGGGCCTTGACCTAAGGAACCACAACTAAGGAACGAAGCCCCTTTTTTTCCAAGTAAACCCATGAGGCCAGAAAAAACGGCCGAGCCCCTTTCTGGCGGCGTTCCGCTACGATTTGCTCTTGCAATTCGACCCCCGCCCTCTCCGCCAAACCACCAAGGAACGCCCGCCCCCCCCTCCCCCGCCGCTCCAAAACCGCACGCAGAAGCGCAGCCTGCGAACGACGCGACCTGGAATCGGCGATACATCGTCGATGGATCGGAGATAGGCCTCCGATAGTGAATCCGCACCTTCCTGGGCAGGTTGGGGCCATCGGGCCCCCATCGGCGATCAATGGGCGATTGGGGGTCGATGCATCCCCCCCTGTGCCTATCCCCCCCTATCGTTGCCCACGAGCTTCACTCACGCCGGCCCCCGGGGCAGGCGCGCGGTGCGGCACAGAGATCCCCCCCCTCTGGCGCGGGCGAGTCCGTACACTCGGCACGAACGAAATGGGTACGGAAAGAATGGGTACGGTGCCCAACAGCAGTTCCTGTTCATTTTGAACAGGACTCGCTGTCCGCGCCGCCGCGGCCTGCGTCCATCTGAGACAGAAGGCCGCCTGCCCAACGGCGGCCGCTGTTGGTTTGGGACAACATTTGTGGTTGGGCATCGTACCGGTTTTTTCCGTACCCATCTCGGGCGTCCGAACACATTCGGCTCGATGCCTCCCCCCCTGTGCCTCCATCCCCCCCTATCGTTGCCCCCGAGCTTCGCTCACGCCGGCCCCCAGGGGCAGGCGCGCGGTGCGGCACAGAGATCCCCCCCCTCGCGCACTCGCGCGCCGGCGGCGTGCCGCGCTCTTCGGTGCTCGGCGCTCGCTGCGCGCTGCGCGATCCTCGACCGATCCTCGGCCGACCCCGACCCTCCGTCGATCCTGGATCCCTGGTCCTCCACCGATCCTCGATCCTCGATCGATCCTCGATCCTCGATCCTCGATCGATCCTCGATCCTCGATCCTCGATCCCCGATCCCGCACACGAGGGGCAACGTTAGGGGGGGGGCCAGCTTAGAGGGGGGAGCCTCGCCCTGGAACCGGCGGCCCCTCGCCGACGGATATATCGCCAACAGCGGGCGATCGCGCGGCCCCGGGCGGGGCGGGCCGTCGGCGGGCCACATCTCGGGGCGCCCCGACCAGGCTCTCGGGGCGAAGCTCTCCAGGGGGTGGCGACGAGGGCCTCCCAGGAGGCCCCCCAAACAGGGGAAAACGGGCGAAGGGTAGAGGTATGGATGCCTTTTCCTCCCCCCAGGGATCCCTGGACAAGGGGGTGCGGGGTCGGTGTCTGTCGGCCAAACGCAAGAGCGGCCCTGGGTAAGAGTGACCCTTGGTGCGCGACTTTTGGGGGGGCCGCGGGGGGACCAAACCTGGGCGTGCGAGCAGCTGCTACTGCTTCGCTTTCAGCCATCTGTGGACCCATCCGTGCCCGCACCAAAGGTCACTCCGGCGAAAAGTCACTCTTACGTCTGGTCGAGTCTGGTGTTGCCCCCCCCCCCCCCCCCCTGGGC